GGGTTTAGATAAAATAAACTAATCGATAGTGTATTTCACATACTATCAGTATATAAAAACAATAGAAGTCTGTAATGTCCCCATTTAGATAGCCAAGTAAACATGCGTGCATGTTTTTTTTTTTTACAAGAGAGTGTTCCCACACACACTTGAAATCTGTCTAATAACTATACACATCGAGGTCAACAATATGCCCTGCAGCCTCCACTGTATGATCGTACACAACGAAACTTATAATGCATTCACTAGAACAAGGGTGTGTCAGTTAGCGTAGTGTTCAGCTGCACATACATGGTTTTCTATAGGAACATGTGAATCTATATTAGGTTTTAAATGATGAGAAACGATTTCTGATGGTCAGATCAGTGGATATAAATGTCCTTTGGATGCCTTCTTCGAATTATCCTACAATACCATCAACACAAAAGCATATGAACAAGACAAGAAACGAAACTGATGAGAACCCGCTGTGTTTCCTGCTCTGACTTGCACACAGATTTTACACAAACCAAACCAAAGCAATTACAGTCACACACACACACACACACACACACACACACACACGCGCGCGAGAAATACCTTCAAAACAAACAAACGCGTTACCCACACGGCTCCAACGGAGGAAACTTTGAGTCTTTCAGGGCTGTTTCATCTCATTCCCACACTGACAAGGCTGTAAATACCTTATGTCCCCTCAACAGTGTGTTTTACATGGTCTCTTTCTCTCGGTCTTCTCTGCTTTCCTCTGAAAACACGCCTGCTGCCGTGACGTCAGGATGTGGGCGTGTCTGTCCATCGCGCATGCGCAGCACCACAGCGTGGGTTTGGCGGAACATAAAGCGCTTGTGTTATTGAACTGGCCTTGTGGGTAGTTGGGAAAATCACGTGCAGGAGGAAGATAATCACACTATAATTGTTCAAGGAGTAGTTTAGGTTTCAATAATTAGTTTTGAATTACACGGCCGTTCAAAAGTTTGTTTAATGTTTTTAAAGAAGTCTCTTCTGCTCATCAAGGCTGCAGAAATACAGAAAAAAACAGTAATATTGTGAAATATTATTACAATTTAAAATAATGGTTTTCTACTTTGACATACTTTAAAATAGAATTTATTGCTGTGATCAAAGCTGAATTTTCAGCAGCATCATTCCTCCAGTCTTCAGTCACAGGATCCTCCAGAAATCATTCTTAAATGCTGATTTATTATCAATACTGGGAATAGTTTTGCTGCTTAATTTTTTTTTTTGGAACATGTGATACTTTTTTCAGGATTCTTTGATGAATAAAAAGTTAAAAAGAACAGCATTTATTCAAAATAGAAATCTTTTGTAACAATATACGGTTCAAAAGTTTGGGGTCAGTAATTTTTTTCTTTCCTTTCTTTCTTTTTTTGAAAGAAATGAATGCTTTTATTCAGCAAGGATGTGTTAAATTGATAAAAAGTGATAATAGAGATTTCTATTTTAAATAAACACCGTTCTTTTTTACTTTATTCATCAAGTAATCCTGAAAAAAAAGTATCACGTTCCAAAAAAATATTAAGCAGCACAACCATTTCCAATATTGATAATAAATCAGCATATTAGAATGATTTCTGAAGATCATGTGACACTGAAGACTGGAGTAATGATGCTGAAAATACAGCTTTGATCACAGGAATAAATTACATTTTAAAGTAAATTAAAATCGAAAACTATTATTTTAAACGGTAATAATATTTTACAATATTATTATTTTTTCTGTATTTTTGGTCAAATAAATGCAGCCTTGGTGAGCAGAAGAGACTTCTGTAAAACACATTCAAAATCTTGCCGATCCCAAACTTCTGAACAGCAGTGAATATGAAGTTGATTCAATATTTTCTTCAAAAAGCACTATTAAAATGAATATATTTGTACTAATATAATTTGTATTAATATTGCAATATAACTGTAAAAAAAATTTTAAATAAAAAGATTTGTACTTTAATAAGTTAATATTTAAATATAATTTTAGTATATAGTTGTAGTTAATAAATACATTACTATGAATATGGACACTAAATAATGAAAAGTCTTATTAGTAACTAGCTTGTGTACTTTCAGAAGAGATAATAAACCTAAAATTTATAAACACAAGAAACCAACATCCACATTTGCTCAGACTAGCACAAATAACTACAACGGCTCATACATAATATTTTGTTTTTAATTCAGCCTGATACGAATTATACATGATAAAAGAGAGGATCGTCTTCAAATTATGCAATAACCTCCCTTCCCTTTATATAAACACCCCATCACAGACAGTTTCTACATCATCCTAAACGAACAGAGGCCTCTGAACATGCTCGAGTTCACCTGAGGTTTGGGTTCTGATTATGTTTTGTCCTTTTTATATTTCCATTTGTCAAGTAATCATGTTGTAGCAGTTGCAAAGGCATCCCTAAATACTCAAAAGTGGTATTATGGGAAAATCACAGCAGAGATGTCAAGTGTGAAAACTCGCATCCTGCCCACATCAAGGACAAATGGGTCAGAAATAGAAAAATGGAAACAAAAGTACTACATCATTCTGACTAAACACAGGCACTACATTTGTTCCCATGACCTAATTTTGTTCCCAGCACCACTTGAGACACCATGTTCTGCAATGCCTTTATGCTCAAGACATTTCCCAAATCCTGCTCCCGGAAATCTGGAGGAAAATCAAATGCAAAACGTCTGCTTGGGGACAAGCTTTAAAACAGAAAGGGTCAGCAAAGAGCAAAAATTCATTCTTTACCAAAAAAAAAATAAAAAAACCTACTAGTGTTTATAATTTGTTTAAAAGTCAATTCACAAATTGCAAATTATTTTAGTTTATGTTACACTTTTTAACAGGAAGTTAAGGTGAACAACCTGTCAAGATGTCAGGGTCACGTTTCTATGGAAGCCTGTTTCCACCTCAGAATAAAAAAATAAAACGGGTAATTGCAATATATATTTTTTTCACAATTCTGAGTTTATATCTTGCAATTTTGACTTCATGTGAATTGCGAGATATATACTCAGAATTGCGAGAAAAAAGGCCGAATTGTAAGATAAAAAGTTACAAATACCTTTTTTATCCTGTGGCGGAAATATAACTCACAATTCGCATTTAAAAAAGGCAAAACTGCAAGATATAAACTCAGAATTGTGAGAAAAATGTCAGAATTGCAGAAGAATTGTGAGACACGAACTCAAAATTCTCAGAAAAAAAAAAAGTGTCAGAATTGTGAAAGAAAAAGTATTTAAACACCACCGGTGGAAACAGCTTCTACATGTTTCACTTCAAAATTGAAAAAGAAATAAATATTTTGCCAAAAGAAAATGAAACCATTAAGATTTTTTACATGGTAACAATTTTCATGACCAAAAAAAAAAAAAAGACAATCACATGAATGACAATCATTATTGAGAATATATATATATATATATAAAAAAAAAAGGCAAAATTATGTTTAAGAGAAATATATGCTTACCCTCATGGAAATGTCACGAATGCAAACAAAAATGCCCCAAAAATAGGCTTAAATTTCTATTTTATTATTTTGGGGTGAAATGTGACCTGGACATATTTTCTGATGAGTATTTATGTCTTTTAAGATATACAAATGAGCAAAAGCCATTTAATCCCCCCACCCTCATCCATGTTGCAATTGCTTCTGCAGTCCTCCCCTCCTCCTCCTCTCCTGCTTTTATTACCCAGCATTCCTGTCCCTGGTCCTTTAAATAAAAGTAATGCCATGCTGATAGGTTTGTCATGTCGTAAAACTTTCTTTCTTCCCCCCTTCACTTCGCTGTTAAGATCTTCCCTGTGAACGGTTATGAATAAAATATATATTACATTTGTCGTTAAATAGTTGTCTGTTGCACGGTCCGCATGCATTAGGAACGCAGGGGCAGCCTAAGGACAGGGGGAGGAGAAGGCCATGTTGTCGTGCGAACGACTGGGTCATGTGATAACGGTCACGTCTGCGATACGAACTCGCTCCTTTGGTCCACAAGTACACTGTTCTGCACGTTCACATCAACCAGAACAGTCCCGACTATGAAACTCCAGTGTGTTTGTGTATGTGTGTGTGTGTGGTCCTTTGTCAGTTTTCATTGGGTTTTGCAGAAAATCACTGAAGCTTCGTTCCCAGCTTTCGTTGTCTGTTTCTGTATGAGAAGATGACAAAAGAAAAGTGTAAGTCAAAGGTTTACAAGGCACTTTAAGCTAGGATAAGCTATAATCTAACATTCGTTACATGTACCTATTTTAAATACCAAAATGTTTGTAAATGTTTCATGCAAATCTGTCACTGCAAGATTTTCCTGCTAATAAAAATATGAAACTTTCCATTAAAATCGGGACACACAGGAAGTGACATCATTTGGACCTTTTCGACAGTATGGCATTCAATTCTCATTCAATCTTCTAATTTTTACAAACATTGGTCACACTAACTGCATTCATCAAACTCAACTAGTCAAGCCTCCTAG